GTTAAAAGCTAAAAGTAGCAAAAATATGGTTAAAAGCTAAAAGTAGCTGAGCCCACCTCAAAGTCAAATTAACAAAATAGTAGCTACAAGTATAAAGTAACAGCTAAAACACAAAAGTAGCCAAAGACTCACTAAAAGTAGCAAAACGCTAACTAAAGAGTAAACAGAAAACCAGCTAAAGTAGCAGAACGTGACTTAAAGTAGCTTAAAGCTAACTAAACTAGCGGTAACATAAGACGGTAGAAGCTGAACTGGATTCACACATTAGAACTTGTTTGTTGCAGATCTCAACGCAGACGACTGGAAACGGTTTTATTGTGCTGCTCGTGCACAAAACGACGTCGACTGATCGTGTCTGTGACTTCAACACGTTTATGTCACGGTGTCTGCAGCTTTAAGTCCAACCCACTACGATGCTTTGGATTAATAAGAAGCGCCAGATTAAAAAGAATTGTTTGGATTAAAGCGTCAGACACAAGCCGTGGTTCAGTGTTTGTCCAGGACATCAGTGAAAACCTGAACGAGCTTAAACCTGTTGTTTGGATCCAGGTGTTCACGTTTTCAGGAAGTTGTATTGGAGTTTGGAGATGAACGTTTGGTCCTGCTCTTTGAGACGAGTCGTGTGTGGCCTTCAGGACAAGGATAAGACAACGTGAGGTCCAACCCGCCGGCGGACATGGATTAAGTGGAGTTTCGGATGATTCCCCCTCGGTCAGTCGTCGTCGTGTTTTTCTTCAGCGCTGCTCCTCCAAAGCAAACATGATCATGGGCTCTGGAAGATTTAAACTGGACTTAAGGGAAAGGAGGAATTTCATGCTCACTTGTTTCACACCAACTTTTTCCGTTGCCTTTCCTTCCCATTTAAGGTGCGTGTCCGCTGACCCGTGCCGCCCTCACTGTGTTTCCTCCGGTGGGACCGATAACCTTATATAGAGCTGCAGGAGCAGAGAAGACTGTTCCTCACCTGACCGGACACATGGAGGCCATCAGTCAACCCAGCAGAACCTGGAGCCCATTGGTCCCTGTTCTGTTCCCTGCTGGGGCATGCACGGATCAAAACAGGGACGATGCTTCATTTGTCCCGTCTTAAAGGTCTTTAGAGACATGGTCCGTCTTTGAGAGGATTGTTTTGGTTGAAATGATCCGAGTCAGAACATCTCTGCCCAAACTTCACCCATTCAGACCAGTTTGAAGGTTCACGCTTCTTGTCAGTGCCAAAGTCAAAACTTGGTACTTTTGTGGGGTTTTGTGCTTGTGTTTATTTTGAAGGATCTGTTTTTGGTTGGTCTGTCTCGTACGTCTCTGTGTTGGTCCTGTGCTGGACCAGAGACCTGTCCAGGTGTCCACCTGCCTGCTGTCCTGCACAGAAAATGGATTCATGGGAATAAATGTCACTAGAGCTAGTCCAACAGGTTCTACCAGGAACCCGGGTGGTGGGTCCACGTGGAGGCAGCATCCTTCGAGCTTGGCTCCACCTCCAGACATTCACCTCGATCCCACCACCACCACCAGGCCTGGCTCCAGGGAGGTTCCCCAGTTTCCCTCCTCCAGTTTACTGGTTCATATGGTGATTCAGCCAGAAATGGGGGGAGAGCCACCTCCGGGTCAGGGGGTCTTGTCCTCGGGTGGGGGAGGTCAAGCATCTGTGCGTCTCGTTCCTGAGTGATGGTGGAATGGAGCTGGAGATGGATCAACAGATCTGGGCCTCATCCTCAGTAATGAGGGCGTTGCTTCAGTCAGTCGTGGTGAAAAAAGAGTTGAGTTTAAAGGCAAAGCTCTGGATTTACTGTCTGTCTACGTTCCAACTCTCAGCTGTGGTCACGAGGTTTGGACCAGGACTGAAAGAACCAGATCCTGGATCCAGAGAGAGAGAGGGTGAGGAGCTCCGTCATCGCTGCTCCTCTGGATCTAAAGGAGTCAGCTGAGGAGGTTCATCTGATCAGGACGCCTCCCCCTGGAGGTTTTCCGAGTATGTTCCACTGAGAGGAGACCTCTGACCCAGGACCTGCTGGAAGGATTATAGATCCTCTCTGGTCTGAGAACACCTCGGTGTCCCCCAGGAGGAGCTGAGAGTGTGAAGGAGGTCTGGTTTGAAGAGAAGATGGAGCTGGATGGATGTAGTTACCTGTACAGGTGCATTCAAAACATCTAGTTCTGTTTCATGTTCCAGTCCTGACATTTTACACTTCATCAAAGAGACCATTTCAAAACTTCAAGTCTTCTTAGGGACCAGATTTTAGATGTTGCTTCATACACTTGGACTTCAAACTTGGTCCTCTAGGCCCGGGACCTTCAGGGTTCTGGTCAGTATCGTAGCTCTGAACTCTGGTCTCTGAGGTGGTTCCTGGGATCAGTTGGAGCAGCCTCTGGGACTACGGCTGCCCCGACTCTCCTCAACTTCTCCATTTCCTGCTTCAGCCTCTGGTACTTCATGAGCTTCTCATGCTGAGGAGACCACAGCTCATTTTTCTGAAACCAGCATGTCTACGTGTGTGACAGTGTCTGCTGAAGTCCAACTCTTCAATCATCTGAAAACCTCTGTGGTCATCGGACCAGCTGGAGGCAGAAACAGGGACAGAGGTGACCCAGAAGGAACTGGTGTGAAGAAGAACGACTGGCAGAGTTCAGACGTTCCAACAGAAAAATATGGTTCAGGTCCAGATCCTGGCTCGACCTTCAGACCTGAACCCCACGGAAAACCTCTGGAATGTGATGAAGAGGAAGATGGAAGCCGTCAAACAGCGGAGCTGACTGAACTTTAGCTGCAGATGGAAAAAGTCAGATTACATGAAAGATGGAGGGTTCACCAAAACGCTTTAATCTGGGATTAGAAATGAGGAAATTCAGATTGTGACATGAAAACTAAAACAATGAATCCTTCTGTGCTGTCTGAACATGAGGACCACCGCAGCCTTTCTGTTGTTCTGATCATTTGTCTAAATGCTCTACATAAAACTTTTTTTATTTACAATCTGGAAAATCTGTTACCTGTAGATTAGAGAATAAAACAGCTCATTTTACTCAAATCTTTTTCTTTCAGCTGCTCCTTCTTCACAGCGAACTGTCGCACGAAGACTCTGTGACCTTCCTGACCAACCAGACACCGAGCCACCACCGCCTCTGTGTGGAGCTGACAGCTCGGGCGCCCGGGGGACCAGATGGTGGGGGTTAAGTGCCTTGCTCAAGGGCCCAGGGTAGAGCAAATACATGTTTCAATTCAATTTATTTATATTTTTCTGTTCTTTCTGGAACATGGAGTTGTCTGAAACTTCAAGCGAGCTCATGTCACTGGCAGAACTATGAACTTTTTATGTTATATATTTTACTTTTGTCAAATTTGAACCAGAAAGTGTCTGACTCATAAATCCACCAGCTGACGAGAACCAGCTTTGAAATCTGCAACAACAAAAATTTCATGGAGCAAAGTCGTACTTCTGTGATTGAAACAAGTCGTCTGATTTATTGAAAATAATTTGTTCACTAAAACAGCTGGAGAGGAAACAGCTGGTTTGTGAGACGTCATTCAGGACACGTCTTTAATAATATACTAAAAGTTCAGGAGTTTCAGGAGTTCAGGTCCCTGCAGGAGCAGCAGGGGGCAGCAGAGCTGAGCCGGTCTTTCAATGGGCACACAGTCCGGGCCAGAACCAGGCAAAGGCTGCATGCGTGGTTTTGCAGACAAATGTGAGTATTTGTGCGTGTGCCAGCCTTGTTTGTATTCCCGTGTGTTTTCCTCACAAAAGCTCCATCCAGCCGTGCAGCAGAGGGCTGCTGGTTCCCAGAGACTCCCACAACTCCAGAGCCCAGTCCCTCTGAAGCCTGCAGCCCGGACACAGCTGCCCGGACCTGGACCCTGAGCCCGCTCCTCGTGTACCAGCACTCAGCCTGGAGTCCTGACGGATGGAGAAACCCGAGGCCCAACGTGAGAAAAGTGGAGGCAACGTTTGAGGATAGAACTCAACTGGACGTCGTCTCCTCAGCTTCTCTGGATTTTGGAGAGATTGGATCATTTTCTGGTAAAACTCTAAAAACTGTAAATTCACTCAACATTTTTATTTTTGCATTTGGAAACTTGTGGATCTCTTGATTAGAACCGCTCCTCAACCAACGAACATCAGTTCGATCCGAGGTTTGGAACTTGCTGGACTTTTACTGAACTTTTTACCGTTTTTTCACTTGGTGTGAACGGGCGGAGCTGAACGGTTCTGGTGCAGGTGTGACAGGAAGGTTCTGCGTCATGGCTCGGCCGGTTGGGTTTTTGCTGTGTCTGTGCCTCTCGCTGCTGTTTGTTGGTGCAAAGAACGTTGGGCAACGAGAAGAGCAGCAGAGCGATGTCCACGAACCCCCCTCCGGTGTCAAACCGGAGCCTCTTTGGACCGAGAAGCAGCTCAGGAGGCCAGATGACCCCCATGCCCCTGAGAAGAGCCTCCCTCTTCCTGAGATGGTGGATCTGGACTTGGACCGTCACCAACGCCTGGCCCGTGGCGCAGACGAAGACGAGCAGCAGTCCACCTTCGGTCATTCCTTCGAGAACGAATGGGTGACGGTGCCTCAAGTCACCGAGTTCAGCAACACGATGAAAGTAGAAGCTGAGAACGTCAGTCACAAAAATGACCTCAATAAAAACGCCTCCAGCTCTGACAGCGGCGTTTCAAGACCCTTTAACCCGTTCTACCCGCTGGTGGAGAGCTCGTACGTGGCCTACGTGGTCCTGTTCCTGGCCTGCCTGGTGCTGGCAGTGGGCGTGGTGGGAAACATGGCGGTCATGTGCATCGTTTGGAACAACTACTACATGAGGTCCTCCTGGAACTACCTGCTGGCCAGCATGGCGTTCTGGGACTTCCTGGTTCTGGTTGTCTGCCTTCCGGTGGTGGTCCTCAACCACCTGTCCCACAGGAGGATCCTCGGTGATGTCACCTGCCGTATGGTGCCATACATGGAGGTTAGTGGGTCCAAGGAAATACTGAGCTGATGATTCTGTAAGTTTAAAAACTTTAGTTTTTTTGTTGGTTTCATTTTAATGAGAGAAAATTTCAACTAATATTCCAGAAAAACACATTCACTGAAGTTTACAGATTAATTTTCACCGTATTGAAGGAAATAATCTGAGCTCCAAACAAATCATGAGTTTTTAGTGGAGAAATGTTGGTGAGATGATTCTTGCTGTCGGTCTCCAGGGTTGAACATCTCCGGGGGACTTTGGCCCACTCCTCTTTACAGAAACTAAATACTTCAGGTTCCTCTGCTGCAAAACCCAAAGCTTCAGCTCCTCCACACGTCCTGCAGGGCAGAGGTCTGAAGACCACAGAGGTCTGGAGACCACAGAGGTCTAGAGACCAGATGTCTGTTCTACAGGACAGAGGTCTGGAGACTACAGAGGTCTGGAGACCAGAGGTCTGTTCTACAGGACAGAGGTCTGGAGAC